GCCTCAGTTTTGGTCCTTATGACTTTCTGTTGAGTTGTCTAATTCTGAAATTTTATTGTTAATCTTCTGGCTTTCTGATTGCTGTCTCTCTGTGGGTTATTGCAGCCTGTTAAATTTGTCATTATGCTCTTCTCTAATCTTCGTTAAGTTCCTCTATTGCTTTGTCTGTGCGTTCCTTGGCTTGTTCTGCATTTTCAATGATCTCCTTCTTGATCTCTTAAGAGTTCTGTATATTAATCTTTTGTCTTCTATCTCTGGTAATTCCACGAAATTCTCTTCCTCTGGAAAATTTCTTGATTCTTCGTTTTGGGAGCTTGCTGAAGCCATCCTGGTCTGCCTCTTTATGTGATTTGATGTTGACTCTTGTCTCTGAGCTATCAATAAGTGATTACATTTATTTAATTTATGTTTGCTTACTGTGTCTTAGCTCCTTGTTTTGTTTTGATATGCCCAAGTAGGCTACTTGTGTGAGCTAGTTTGATTATGGGCGCTTTTGAACATCTGACATCTTATCACCAGGTGGTTAGATCTGTTACTAGGTATGTGAGCCCAGGAGTCCATTTACTTTTCTTGTATGGATTCAGCTCAGGTGTCCAGGTAGTCGGTCACCAAATGTGTGGTGCAGGCTCTTACCTACAGTCTTAGACAGGCATGAATGATTGGTGTAGGCCCAGGTATCTGGCTGCAGTCCTGGATCATGCTCTGAGCAAGGCAGGGGGCTGACGGCTGCCCCTGAGTGTCTGGGAAAAGGGCGTGTCCCTGTTCCCTAGAGCATGTAGGTGGGTGGGTTTTGCAGCCAGATTATGGCGACCCAGTGCTGTTGGTTGTAAGGAGTGGGAGGCAGCACTTATTCTTGGACCCCTCTTGCAGGTGGCTAGGTGGTGTGGGTGGAGCTACCAGTCCTCAGGCCCCTGATGTGGGTGAGGACCCTGTTTAATTGGCAGAGCAGTGTCAAGTGTCACGAATCTGCCTCTCCACCTTATAGCTGATATAGTTGATAATAGGCTTCAGTTATATTCCCTGTTGTACCGTGGTAATGAGGGCCGAAGCTGTTGAAATGGGCCCACACAGGTCTATGCATGAGTAAAAAGCATTCAAGGTCTGTGAACCCTTTATTTCTGTGCCTAGGCAAAGGATCTGTGCCTGCCCTGAGTTCCCAGCTTAGGGGAGCCAGCAGATTATTTTTTCCTGTTTGTTAATTTGTTCCCTCTCCAAAGCCAGGAGAATGGATCAGGGCAGGGGAAGGGTCCTACTTCCAGCCTGGTGACGCAGCAGTTGCTGAAACCAGCCCTGGACTGGTGCAGAGCGGGGAGGGGCAGATAAATGGGAAAGTGGTTCTTCCCAAAGGGGGTGTTTTTTCATCAGAGCAGTAGGTTAGACACATGTACTTTCCTTTTGCTGATTGAGGACTGTTTTCCACTGGTTCTGGAGGCTTGGGTAGAGTCTCTGCCGCTCGGTCTCTACTGATATGAGAAACAAATCCCGAGCATCACTGCTTGCCTCAGTATGCATGCCTGCTGATCAAGCATGCAGGGTGCCCGTTCCCTCCAGATCAGGTCTGGCAACTGCTTGCTGCCTCTGAACCATCTCTCCCTCCCCCTGCTGCTCAGTCTGATTCCTCAACTTTGCCCTTGATGTTCAGGGCTCCTAGATTGTCATATATATAATTGATTAACTTGTTTTTTTCGGTCTTTGTTGTAAGAGGGACCACTGGAAGCGTCTGACTACTCCGCCATCTTGGCCCTGGCTCCCCCAGTGTTAATAATTTTATGGTCTTTAAATTTTAGGCTTGTAAATAGTCCAGCCTGCTTACTATCTGGTAAGGAGTCCAGGGAGACAGCCAAAAGGAGAGAGCAGTCGTGGCAATGACTTCAGGGTTCGGCTCCCCAGTCTGTGGAGTGCTGATTAGCTCCTTGATTGTGTAGCAGGGCTTGGAAAGAGGACTGTTCCTACGCTCCTTCTGCCAGCTAGCTGTGCTCCATGGGCTAATCACTTAACCTTTTAGTGCCTCTTCTGTTTTGAAATTGAGCAGATCCAAAATCTTATGTATTTATTTTAATTTTTATTAAACTTTTATTTTGAAATAATTTCAATCTTACAGATATGTTTCAAGAATAAGACAAAGAAGTTCTATATATACCTTTCTTCCCATAGATTCTCCAGTTATTAACATTTTACCACATTTGTTTTATATTCTCTGTCCTCCCTCCTGTCTGTCTCTCTCTCTAAATGACATTGTTAGACAACTGGCTGCAATTATATTTGATAAATATATATGTATACATAAACATACACACACACGTACCTACATACATATATACACAGAGATCCTTGGGTGGTGCGAATGGTTTGTGCTCGGCTACTAACTGAAAGATGTGATGCATATGTAAAAAACCAAGCCTGTTGCCGTCAAGTCTGTTCCAATTCACAGCAACCCCATGTGTTACAAGAGTAGAACTGAGTTCCATAGGGTTTTCTTGGCTGTAATCTTTTCAGAAGCAGGTCTCCAGGCCTTTCTTCTGCAGTGCCACCAGGTGGATTGGAACTGCCACCCTTTCAGTTAGTATATAGGTATGTGTTTTGGATTGAATTATGTCACCCCAATATGTGTCAACTTATCTAGGACATGATTTCCAGTATTGTGTGATTGTCCACCATTTTGTCAACTGATGTGATTTTACTGTGTGTTGTAAAGCCTACCTTTATGATGTTAATGAAGCAGGATTAGAGTCAGTTACGTAAATGAGACAGAATTCAATCTATAAGATTAGCTTGTGTCTTGAGTCAATCTCTTTTGAGATATGAAATAGAAGAGAGCAGAGAGACAGGGGGAACTCCTGCCACCAAGAATGAAGAACCAGGAGGGGAGCACGTCCTTTGGACCCCAGGGTCTCTGCATTGAGAAGCTCCTAGACCAGGGAAGGATTGATGGCAAGGACCTTTCCCCAGAGCTGACAGAGAGAAAGCCTTCCCCTGGAGCTGGCACACTGAATTTGGACTTCTAGCCTCCTAGACTGTGAGAGAATAAATTTTTCTTTGTTAAAGCCATCCACTTGTGGTATTTCTGTTATAGCAGCACTGGATGACTAACATAGTGCATATGCATATATATGTACGTATGTGTATATGTATGTATATGTGTATATATGTAAGTATACAAGAAAAATATGATTACAGCAAGTTGTCTAATACTGTTATTTTATAGCAAAAAGAAAACAACTAAACATTGGAACAAACAAATATTGGAAAAACTAATTTCTTTTTTTTACCACTTTCCTTTCTTGTCCACGATTCAATCCAGGATCATGCATTGCATTTAATCTTTTTGGTCTCTTTCAATTTGGAACTCTTCCTCAGTCTTTTCTTATCTTTCGTGATGTAGATATTTGAATAACTCAGACTGCTTACTTTTTAAGAATATTCCTCAATTTGAGTTGTTTGATGCTTTTTCTTGGTTAAATTCAGGTTATGCTTTTTTTGAGGAGGGGCATGAATAACCACGAACAATGCTGTGTCCTTCTCAGTGCATCATCTCAGGAGGCCCATCATGTCGGTTTGTCCTGTTACCAGTGATGTTAACTTTTATCATTTGTTTAAAGATAGTGTCTGCTTCGTTTCTCCACTGCAAAGTTAATGAATGAGGATTTTGTGGGGAGAAACTTTTTGAGACTACATTAATATCCTTTTCCTCATCAAACAAGCACACACGTTTTTGCATCCATTGATGGTTCTTGTCTGAGTCGGTTATTTCTATGATGTTTCCTAAATGATGATTTTCTAATGCTGTCATACCTTCTAAGATTGTTGGTTGGCATTCTACTGCAAAGAAGAGCTTTCCATTTCTCTCATTTATTTATTTATTTACTTATATCATTATGGATTCCAGTTTTTTTTCAGTGAGTTTTAATCTGTTAAATCTATTTAATCTGTCAAATTGTCCCAGATTTGGTCAGTGGGGGCCCTTTCAGGCTGGCTCCGTGCTCTTATGACATGCCTCCATCATTCTCTGAGTACTTTAAAATTTTCTGACCCAGTAAGATATTCCAGATACATCTTGTAATTTTTTTGTCCCAGACCTAAAATCAGCTGATTCTCCTTTTAGTAGGGAATGGTATTTGAGAAACAATATCTGGGCTCTGTTATTATTAGTTGCTGTTGAGTTGATTCCAACTCATGGTGACTTCATGTGTGCAGAGTAGAACTGTGCACCTTAGAGTTTTCAAGGCTGTGATCTTTCAGAAGCAGATCACCAGGCCTGTCTTCCAAGGTGCCTCTGGACGGGTTCGAACTGCCAGCCTTTCAGCTAGTAGTCAAGCGCTAAACAATTTGTACCACCTAGGAACTCCATATCTGGCCTCTAGGTATACTCATTGCTATAGTGAGATGTTATTGCGTCTAGGTATTTCCTGTGGGCAGAGCTCTGACAACACACACACACACACGTATATATTTTTTAAAACCATGAATTCATACCAGTATATCTACTCCCAATCCAATACCCAGGATTCTGCCTCTGCTTTTTCCTTCCCTAATTGTAAATCTCTTAATGTCCCTGAGATGGGATTAAAATCAGAAATTTAGTGTTTAGTAAAAATACGTGGTGTCATGTAGACATAAAAATTGCATTTTCTGAAAATCTTTCCTAATTATTTCTTTATATAAATAAACTTGTTTTTAGTTTGTAAATGATTCCCCTTTAAATGACACGTTAAAAAAGAGCGTATTAGACCTAATGACTCAGAGGCACCCTCCAGCTCTGTGGTTACTGCCAGCCCAGCAGTACCCTCCCCCTCAGTCTGGCAGGTATTTCTGTCAGAGGTTGGACTGCTTGTTGTTCTTGAAGCATAGTTATTATCAGTCTGAATGAGTGTCTCTATTTAATTTCATTTGAAACTTATTTGTATCATATGCAGGGATAATTTGATTCTGTCCTTTCCCACCTACTCCTCAAGTTTAAGATCTTTTAGAGATGGTGCAGTTAAGAAACCTCATTCTCTAAGGATACTGTCCAACAAGAAGTCTTCCGCCTTCCCTGGGGTCTGGAGTCAGTTACCTAGTACCAGTCATCCAGTGCAACATCATGCCTCACATACCTGGGACCGGAGGGGCCGGTTAAGAGAATTACGCATCAGGTAAGTGTCCCTGTTATCACCTGCCTGCAATGACTTTTCCATTGTCCTCCTTTTTTGGTTAAAATGAGGGGATTATTCTTGATTCTCATATCTCAAGAGACATTGATGCCTGCTCTACATAGCAGAATGCTGAGATGAGAAAGATGTTCAGGAATCTGCAGACCTAAAATACGTCACTGAGTGTTTTTCATTCGTGGTCTCCATTTGTGCCCCACAGTGTGTAAGCTATAAAGATTCTCCCAGAAAAAGTTAAACATGTTCCAAGGAAAATGATAATTCTTTACTATTCTTGATTAGCTATATTAAAGACATTGATTCATTCATTCAACAAAAACTTATTGGGTGCCCAGGGTTGAGTAAGGACAATGTTGATGTGTTGTAAGGTTGTTAACCATTGTCATAGGGCAACATGTGTGCTAACTGTTTAATGAGAAACTATCTTGTTCTGTAAGCCTTCATCTAACGTGAGAATAGCAGCATAATTGGAAGAGCATAGTCGATGTCACTGAACTGTGCATGTAGAAAGTTTTGAAATGGTATATCTTTGGCTATGTATATTTACACCAAAAAAAAAAAAAAAAGGTCAGAAGGGAGAGGGTTGACATGTCGTGGGGTTGTTAACCAATGTCATAAAACAATATGTGTGCTTCTGTTTAATGAGAAACTATTTGTTCTGTAAAACTTCACCTGAAGTACAATAAAAAAATAAAAATAAAAATTTATTGGGTGCCTACTAGGTGTTGTGCTAGACTCTGAGAATGCAAGATAATTAGATGTTCCTGATCCATGACCTCATGAACATTTAAAAGCAGATGGAGTAGACAGACCATTTTACGAACCACAATAAAGTGTGCTATGAGAGGAGAAGAATGTGGTGCCAGAGGCACATGTGGCAAGAGCAGCCAAGCTAGGGTAGTCAGCAGTGACTTTCTGAAGAAGGGAGAGTCTAAGCTAAGTCCTAAAGGAGATATGTAAGAGTAAGCTAGGTAAGGATAGGAGGAAGAATGTTCCAGACTGAGCCTAGAGCTTAACTGGACAGGAAGTCAACTTTTTTTTGTGTGCGTACCAGGCACTGTGCTAGGTACTGGGGAGACTATAATACATGGTCTCTACTCTTGGGCCCACAATGAGGTGGGAATGACAGATACCCCAGCGAGCCCCAATTACTGTGATATAGTGTCATAATGTTACAGTAGAGGAAATAAAGCTACTCACTCTGTTTAGGTTGAGAAAGGTCCAGGAAGACTTCACATGGAAGCAAGCATTGAAGAGGAGTCTTGTTGGATATGTAGGCATTTGCCAGATGCTTTAGGCAAAAAGAATACTGTGAAAAAAAGCATTATCGTGTACTTACTTTCCTCAACTCTGAAATCTGTATCTCTTCATTAACAAAATACTTGATAATGGAAATATTTTTTTAATAATCTGTTTGATTTTAACTTTATAAATGTATACCAGCCTGTGCTCTGTTTGATACAGGATTAGCTATGATGTCATCTTTTGACTCATCCTAGCTTCCCTCCCTATGGGATCTTAAAAATTCCTTCTGCTTCCAGACGACTGATGACATAAG